AAACGCACAATGAGGAGGCCAGAATGAAGACAGAGGCAATGAGGATGGCCGATAGCCCCAGTGGAAAGATGCTTCTTTTCCAGAACATCCAAAGTATCTGTAACTGACATGATGAGAAGTTGAGAGCAGGGGAGGAGGAGAGGCTGACACGAAGATACTATTACGTGGAGGAAAAGTCATTTATAACAGGTCCCAAAAGGAGAAGAAGGTTCCAGAATATAGATATGGCACCAGCAATGTGAAGCCATAGAAGTGGAGGCTCATCCAGAGCGAGACATTTTGTTTGACAGAAATAATAGAACCAAAGGAGCCTCCACATTAAAGGACTAACAATGAAAAAGTCACTCAAAGAAATAGAGAAATAGCCTAGAAAGACTAATAAAACCAGACTGGAAGGCCCCAGTTTCTAGACTCAGGGGTTAATCAAAGTGTTGAATCCTATAAAGATGAGGAAAAGATCAGGACTGAAGCTAGCTATGGACTTTGGAAATAAGAACTCTGAAAGAAATGATTAATAATCCTTAAAAACTCTTAAATACACAAATCTACACCATGCCTATAAAAATTAGGTTGGGCCTGCTATTACACTGAGGCAGAGGGAGAGACCAATACACTCCTTTAGCAAAACAGTAAAAATGGAGCCAAAAGCAGCATCAATATAACATGTCTACAAAGGAAAGGAAATAGCTCTGAATCTAGTACATTTGTATTTTACGTGAATTTTTCACTATAGTTTTTGTGAGCACTGCCATGATGGCCATGTGGCACGTTGACAATGGCATCACTAAGGAGAATTATGTTTTAGTCCTGCATATTCAGGACTATGTCACTGCACTTTTTTAGGTCTCAGTTTCCATATGTATCAAACAATAATCTCCGAATTCTCTTCCAGAAATGAAAATTCTTAGATTCTATGGCAGAAGGAAGACAATGTTAACCAGCTGCTCTAAAACACACATTTCACAGGATAATTAAGAAGCCTAAAAAAATATGCATTTTAGCTACTATTTGAAATCGATATATGTTTCATTTGCCATTTAAAAATACTCTTTTTAAACTTTCCTAAAGATTTATTGCTGTTGAAGTGAAATTTATAAAGAGAACCATTTATTTGCCTTTGCCAGTTAGTTGCATGTCATGAACTTTCGTTTTTAACACTTCTCTTTTCTGTTATTTGATAGAGAAACTGGCTTAATACCTAATGCCCAAGGGAAAGACTTCCATCTCTCATGGACAGCCCCCACTCAATTTTTCAATTTCAATAATTTCATTGGCAAAATAAAGCATACCAGAAGTCGCCAAAATTAATATGTCAAGTAACTAATATGTTAAGTGTACCTCCAGTTTCAATCAAGCCAACAACTGACTAGAAAAAAATTAATGTGGGGAGGAAAGAGACAAAAAATGAAAACAGAGTGATTTTTAACTAAAGTAATACTAGCCCTTGAGAGTAGGAAGTGAAACAACAAAAATAAAAATTAAAAAATATACCAAATACCAATTATAAATTAGTCACAATAACAAAAAGTGAAGTAATAAGCTATTTTGAAATCATTCCTACAATGAATTTAAAATAAAATGCAAAAGCATCAAACTTCTTCATCACTTCTCAAAAGAAAAAAAAAATCCCAGAGGCTTGGGGCACAACTATTGAGAAAGTCTGTTATGGGCATTTTGCCCAAAATATGATTTCTTCAAAACAGGATGTCACTAATCATCATAGAACCATTAATTCCATTCTTGATATAAAAATCACATATGGCATTCACAACCCGTTTAAAACAAAAGCCTTAAATAATGTCACAAAGGTAATGCACATAATAACTGGAGGATAACACAAAGAAAATATATTTTAAAATGATGTTTTACATTTTTCTAAAAGTCCACTCAATATTTCAAATGAAATTTCACACTCATTTTCTAAAGTACTAAAGCACTAGAAAGGAAAGAATGAAGGCTTTGCAGGGGGATTAACAGGATTTGAGGGAAGTCCATGGAAAATGGTGGTGAATGTGTTGACCAAATTGTACGGTCTACTGGGCAATAACTGGGTTTTCACCTTATTTCCTCTTCATGAGGGGAAATTAGGGAGGCGATCGTAGGCTGAGGAGAGATGCCCAAACAACTATCCAAATGGTGTCTTGTTTGTTGCTAATTCTCCTTTGGGTGGGAGGACCTTGGTCCGTCTCAGCCTTGGTCCCACACTTTTATAACTAGTAGTAACATTCGCTCTGGATGGGCAGAAGTTTCTGCCCTCTTCCACACTACTACCATGGTTTGAATGTTTGTGTCCTTCCCAAATCCATGTTAGAACTTAAACACCAAGGTGATGGTATTAAGAGATGGGGCCTTTTAGAAAGTGCTTAAAGTCATGAAGCTCTGCCCTCAGGAATGAATTAGTGCTCCTATAAAAGAGGTAGAAGGAAGTCCCCTGGTCCCTTTTGCCTTCCTTCTTCCATCATGTGAGGACACAGCAACAAGGCCCCATTGTGAAGCAGAGAATGAGCCCTCACCAGACACTGAATCTGCTGGCACCTCAATTTTCAACTTCCCAGCCTCCAGAACTGTGAGAAGTCAATTTCTTTTCTTGATCAATCACCCAGTCTAAGGTATTTTGTTACGGCAGCAGGAATGGACTGAGATGGTTACAGAGATGAGTACCTGCATTGAGTGCAAAAGGAGGGAAATTTATAATCCCTCTGAGCAGAGACCAGGCACATTGTTGGAAGGTTCACTGGTTCGCTTGCAAGATGAGGAGTGCAGTGTGCATGGTGGTTGTTAAGGAAGGGCAGCAACAGCTGGGCCCCTCCTGTAGTCTATCGTGCCAACTTTTGATCCATTTGAAGACGGCAGTGAAAGGCCTCAGAGCTTTGTTCTGTGGGTCCTGCCTGATTTCAGGGAGCTTTGGCCCTCTTGGGGAAGTTTCCCTGAGACAATTTCTCATGGACAACCACAGACGGAACATTGACTAGTATTCAGACCCTTATCCCTACATAATGCTAAAGAGTTGATGCCCTGAAGAGTGAGTTGATGCTGCTAAAAATCAAAATAAATTCTCAAAAGCAGCTGCCAAGCTGCTCAAAGCCAAAATGTGGTTTGCTTACTGAGTGGAGCTACTCCCCTTCTCCACAGACAGCCCCCTTTGATTCACCCATCCTCCTCTCACTGACCTTAACTGGTATAAGGAGATAGATGATTAGAGACAGGACAATATCTCCCTGTTCCCAAGAAAGATTAAACAATAAAAATATTTTCGGGAATGTCAGGGAGGGAAGGGATTCCAACTTTTGTGGCTCTGTTGGATACTGGCACCCGAGTTACCATCCCACTGGGTCCCGTAGGGGGAGGGCATGCCCAAATTCTAGCTGGGGCAGAGTTCACGGTAGGGAGGAAGGAAAGTGACTTTGACCTTAGTGTTGAGCCCTCTGTGTTGATTCAACGTACTGTTGTTTTGCTTCCACTGCTGAAAGTACGTATGGTACTGATGTTTTACATGCCTATACCATGATTGCTTGTAAGTACCAAAAGGGATTTTACTGATTGGAAACAGCTGGATGTAGACAGATGCTACTTCTGAGGCCCCACATCTTCAATGATGCCTTTGAGTTACAAATCTCTGTGACTGATAATGTTGCCAATGGCAGCCTCTGGCCAAGGCAGGAGGCCTCCTCTGGCAGGTGCCCCTTGGAGTCTGGACTCTGCTTCCCTGACACAGCCCCCAGGCACACCTCTTTGGAAAAGCAGCTATTAGTTTACTATTGGGTGGGTTCTTATCCATACAGAGCACCTGACCCCCAGGGAACTGTAACACTTTGGCCTGATATTCCCATGGTGGGAGGATCAGCTCAGACTGAGTGAAAAAGAAAGGGAAAAGAACCCTAAACACCAGTAAGCTGTGAGATAACGTCAACCTTAATATAATTAAAGTCCCACCAAAAAAAAGGAAGGGGAAAGGCAAATATTTTGAAAATGTAATGGCCAAGATGTCTTCAAATTTCATGAAAACTATAAATCCACAGATTCAACAAGCAGAAGCTCAACAAATTCCAAGCACAAGGAAAATGAAGAAAATAATACCAAAGCACATTACAATCAAATTGCTTAAAACTAAGGGTAGAGAAAATTGTAAAAGTAGCCAAAGGAAAAAGATTAGAACATTAGAAACGGAGAAACTAGAGGACAATGGATTAAGATATTTGAAGTACTGAAAGGAAAAAATAAACCAAAATTGTCAACCTAGAATTCTATACTGTGTATCTTTTAAGAATGAAGTTACAATAAGACTTTTTGAGACATATAAAAGTTGAAAGATTCTGTCAGCAACAGACCTGTATTATCATAAATGTTATTAAGTAAAGAACTTCAGGCAGAAGGAAAATGATACTATCTGGAAATATGAAGCCATATTAAGGAACGAATAGCATTGGAAAAGGTAAATTATCTCAACAACCACCCATGGGATAGGTACTATTGGTATCATTTTACAGATGGAACTGAGACCTAAAGCAAAAAGGCAATTTGGTCTAGGGGAAAGAGAGCTCCACTGAGAATCAGGAGACCTGAATTTGAAGTCTTGGCTCTTGAGGCTGTGGGAACATCTTTAGCCCTTCTTTCTCTATTGTCAAATACCAGTAACAACTGCTCAGCTTGTTTCACAAAGCTCTTGTAATGACCAAGTGAGATAATGTGAAACCACTTTATAAACTTGGAGCATTACTGCTTTTCTGTCAAAAAATACAGAAACACAAGTATCTTTGGAAAGGTAATTTAAAGAAAGTGGTAGGAAAGACAAAATAACACTATGCTAAGTCCTTTCAGGTTTTCTGACTGCCCTTACATTAGTTTAAAATACTTTATTTTTTTTTTAAATTCAAATTTTTAAATACTTAAAAGATCTCTAAATATTTACAGAAATGTGTCAGAGAAATAATGTTTGCCATTAATAAGATATTACACTCTACAGTGCTAAGCATTTTAATAATTAATAAATATGCAGAAAATTGTTATTTCTTAATATTTAATTATTTTCCATTATAATTTGGCAGTAAAAATCACTTTTCACAATGATATTATATGTATATTAACAAATCAATCTTGATTCATTCATTTTGCGTTTCCATTTCTCCTGGTAGTTTTGCAAGAATCCATGACTTCAGTTTTTCTAGCTCAGTTTTGCTTAGCTCATGGTAAACATCTGGAAAACTATGAAACTTTGCACTCACGCCTAGAGATTTTAACATTGAGTTTGTCTCTTCTCCCCAAGAATGAAGAACTAACTCATCTGCAGTACCATGACACTGAAATAATTCAGGAAGTACACCATCACTTTTCTGAAGAGCCTAGAGGATAAGATAATAAAAATGGAAAAGTTTAAGAAATTCCATTTAAAAAGATCACTCTTAGAAATCAGAGCAGAAAAACTCCAATTTTATCAAAGTTTCAATTGTCAAAGGGAAAAAACAGGCAGATGTGGTGCTATCTCAAATACAAACTGGTTGGCCAGGCCTGGGGACTTAGCTGGTTGCTGGAATCACTGGAGCTATGGTTGTATATGACCTGGATTTATTCTATAGAGGACTGTCTCAAAAATGGCCAAAGCATTTCCTGAAGAAACTGAGTCACTTGGGAAGACAGACCTCTTCACAGCAAGTGAAAGGAAGGAGGAGTACAGAGCTGAAGTACAATCAAGGGGAAAATTACATTCCAGTTCTCATTTCTATATTTTCTTTATCATTTCTACTTCTGGTAATGAAGTTGTAACACTGTAATGTATCATATTCATAAATTAGGATATTGCTGCAAAATAAATATAAGCTATGTAGTTGTTTTTTTGTTTTGATTATGTTCATGACATAATAAGGAAACCTGGGTATAATCATCTAGATTTTTAATATGTGTAAAAGATACATATATGCCATACATACATATATATAAGCACACACACACACACACACACACACACACACATATATATATATATATATATATATATATATATATCCACAAGCCATTTCCTAAACATTAATGGTGTGCTGGAATTTAGTCAATATGACTAATATGGCCATAAATTCCAGGAATGCTCAATTTACGTCAATTGTGCAAAAATTGTGCATCAGTTTTTACAGCTTAATTATCAATTTTCGTTTAGTTTCAAGGTGTGTATGTTTTGTGTTTCATTTTTTTTTTTTTAAATCTAGAACTTACCTGGTAAACAGCAGATGCTTTATTTAGAAAACTAGAAAGAGCAAATACTCCTGCCACATCTCGATGATTTCTATATGCTAAATGCATTGCCATGCATCCTCCCATAGAAAATCCTCCTAAAAGAAGCAAAAATACACTTACCAGAAAAAGCAGAATACATGCAATAATAATTTAGAATAAGACATATCTACGTCAATCGTCCATAAATAATTTTAAGTATTTGTAGAGAAGCCTTTAAAGAGATACAGTGCTAAAAAGAAATTTAGTCTACCTTAAGTTTCACAGAAAAAGGCCTGCTATGAGTAAATAACCTTGTTCCATCTCTGTCATCACTGGTAGAGAGATTTGTGTTATAAACGGAGCTAGAATTGAGCAAAGAAACCATGATCACCAAGTAAAAATATTTATCATAATTCAAAATATGAATCATAGTATAACATTATTTATTCAACTTTCAATGTCTACTTACATTTTGTTTATATTTACAGAAATCCTCATATCACAACTACAATAATAATGAGAACACGTACCTTTTTGTCTTACTTGCCAATCTGTCAGCTCCATGAGGAGTTACGTTTCTAGTGTCTGCCATATAACAGGTATTTAGTGAATTTTGAAATTAGGAAGGATGACCAAAAATTTGGTGAGCTAGTTAAAATATTTTTGGATTACAATATTATTTTGGAAACTGACTTATGTTGGTATAATAAAAATAAAACATGTATACCTATATGTACTTTTTAAAAACAGAGTCTGAAAAAAATCATTTATTCACTTGAAAAGCTGTTATTATCTTTTCTGTGCCAAACACTGCTAGTCACTGAAAATACAGAGATTAAAATACATGTACCCTCCTACTCAGGGGGACTTTGAGGAGGAAACACATCCATCAGAGTGTGGAGACAGGTGCAGGATGTGACAGCAGCAGAGAGAGTGGCGATTCCAAGCCTGACTACGGGTCAGGGACTCAGAATGATATTCCCAAGCCTGCGTGCGAGTTAAATGACATCTCATTTATGTTTGATGGGAAGATACAGAAAGTTACTCGTGTAGCCACACACTTGTGAAAATACAAATATACTTTGATGTAGAATTCAGTCTCCTTATTTCTAGCCTACTGCTTCATTTTACTTAAAATGTAATACTGAGGTCTTAGAGACCATAAATTTGAATTTTACTACAATATCCTTCTTTTATACAGGAAGGCAACAGAGGCCCAAAGAGATTAAGTGATCGGCCTAAGGTTGTACCCCTTATTTTCGATGTAATGCTAGGAATTTTGGAATTCAGATCTCATATAACAGATTTTAATATTCTACTCTCCTTTAATATTTATTAAAATAGGACTACTTTATCTGGGGCTGGCAGATAGTATTATTTTGGACACGGGGCACGAATATATGAGAGAGGATTACCAGCCTTGCAAAGTTTAGGTTTGCAAGGCCATAATATGTAAATAATGACCATGTATGATAAGTATTATACCTGTGATTTTCAACATACCAGAAAGAAATGATAGGCCTCATCAGTAGCAGTAGCCCACCACGGATGAGAATGATCTGAAAGGCTCTTTCAAAATACCCCTCCCCTAACACTCCAAGATGCAGATATACCTAATTGCTTCATGAATGAGCTTGCCAGGGGAGGAAAAAGCATAAACATCCTAAAAATGTACGAAAAACTTGCATATAGCATTAGAGTCCCCAAAAGACTAAAAGTCACTGGGCTACATCATCCATGAATGTGTGCATTAATAAATCTTTGACACATCACATTTGGATAGAAAGAGCTCATCGTAAGCAGAGAAGATTAGCATTCCTGGTAGTTAAACATTCATCATAAGTATGTAGAAAGAATTCTAAATCTTATTAAGTTTTGCCACAATTCTAGTTATAGACTTCTGTTTGCTTCTGAAGTTATTCAATGTAAGAACATTATGTGGGTTACAAAGCAAACACATTTTGCAATAAAATTCTTATCAAGATTTATCTAAATTAGTTTAATTTATATAAATTAGTTCTTTAGAAAAACCTTAAGAGTAAGAAACAGTTCTTTCTTCAATCATCAAACTCTGAGTGCTTATGATTAGCTGAACACAGTGCTTCTGCCCTCTTGTTACATACATACATACAATGAGCTGGCTTCATCTTTACATGCCCAGTGGTGAGTACAGAGCCTGGCACACAGTGATAACTCAATAAAAGTTTAATTGAAACGTTAGAAACCATATATTATAGGATGAAATTAGTAAAAACATTTACAAATGTCTCTTAAATTTATCAATATCATAAAGACACAAAAAGGCATTTTCTAATTTAAGGCCTGGTGGAAAGAGGAGGACTAGGCTGAAAATAAGGGAACCTGAGTTCTAGTCTTGCCTATGACACTCCCTAGCTGACTGTTTCTGTGTAAATTATTTAAATGCAGGATTTCATTTCTAGTAAAATTATATAGCTGGACTAGATGATCTCTAGGGTTTCTACCAAGTTCTTAAATACAAATACTTCATAATTCCATTGTAAACACTGAAATCGTAAGGGTTTCCAAAATTTAGTTACTACAAGCATAGAAATTTATTTTCAGTTAAGAAATGAGAATCCGTTATCTCTCGGAACACAATTCTAACTTTCCTAAAAGTTCATAGATCTTAGCAACTGCTCACTTTCTTCATCCCTTCCACTCTCCCCTCTGTTACTTATAACCCATTTACTTAGAAAATGAATTCTAGGTTGCTTATAATCAAATACACTGTTAATAATAAAACTACATCTCTAAAATCGGAGCAGGTAGGGGGATATGAGTGAGGGAGAAATGGGGTCTGAGGAAAGAGAGAGAGATCAAGAATGAAAGAGAAAGACTAAGAGACCATGATACTGGGGTGGGGGCAGCAATTAAGGGTACAACTGGGCATTTAACAGTTTCTCTACAGCAAGGAAATACTCTTTTAACAGAAGGCATCATAACAAATCATACTATTAATAGAAAGTTTTCCTAGCATTGAAATCCTTAGTGGAATTTATTAAGTGGATCTTTATTAAACAAACAACGCAAAATCAAACACCTGCTACTGACTCTTCTGGGTCATAAAGACTTAACATTTGCTAGAATGTAAAGATCATGGGAGCAGAGATTTTTATCTGTTTTATTCACCATTGTATCCCCCTATGCTTAGAACAGTGCCTGGTACATAGAGGGTGCTTAATAAATATTTATTGAAATAAACAGTGTGAATTACAGTTCAATAAAGATATTTCTGCAAGATGACAAATTTATCATCAAGAAATGTAGCTTTTTGATGATTTGATATAAAAGTAAAGCTTAGAAAACCTAGAAATGAATTAGTGTGCTCCAGGCCAATCATTCCTAATCTGGCTTCTTAAAAACAAAGATTTTAGACTCAACCCCAGACCCACTAACAAAATCTCACTGCATACGTCTAATTTTAAACAAAACAGATGTTTGAGAATCACAATTGCGTGGCAAATTATTCGAAATTAAGTATATGGGTAAACAAAAAGTGAAAATATGGTCATGATATAAAAGAAATCCATATGCTATAGATATTGAAGCTGCAGGAACACAGTTGTTATTTTTCTGAGAAATTCAAAAGCTTGAATTATGTGTTTGCCAAAGGTAGCTCATGAACATTTGAAATATGATTAGTGTGACTGAGGAACTAAATTTTAAATTTTATTTAACTTTAGTTTAAATTCAAATTTAAAGAGCCACATGTAGGTAGTGGCTACCATACTAGACAATGAAGTTCTGATTATCTAAGCTGAACCAGTGATGGAAAAAAGCTTCAAAATTCACAAGTGGAATAATAATAAAATTAATATTTCATAAAAAGACAATTTTGAAGCTAAGATAAAGATCGATAAAAGACAAAATGCAAATAAAATAGATTAGTGGGCAAAAACATATTAAAAATGATTTTAAAAGCATTCCTATCAAGAAAATTTTACACATTAAGTGCCCCCAACACTTCATTTTTATTGACCCGGGAGCCTAATCACTTTATGTAGTTTTAGACCCCTTGATGGGACCACATTAGCTTGAAAAAAAAAACAAAAAAAACAAAAAAAAACATTTACCCACATATAAAATGTCATTATGCCACACATAAATGCATCTTGCAGACATTTAGCCTCACATTTAATTCTCATAAGTTACAATGAAGAAAATGTACTCATTGAAATATTATTATTTTAAGATTTAATCTAAGTCCTTTACCCATTTATAATCTTGTGAGGTAATCGGTAATTCCTCACTAGCCGTCTTTGACAATACAATTACCTTTAGCATGAGACACTACTGTGAAAAGGGACCTTGTATATTTTTTCCTAATAGAAGAAAATTTAACACAAAGGACTAGTTATTTGAATTCAATTTTCCATCTTAAGAGTCTAAAGCCTAATATAAAATACACTGTTCAATAAGTAAATACCAAATAGTAAATTCATTGTAGGTAATGGTTATAACGGATATTTATAGTTGCTGGTGAAGTATTTAAAATGTCAAGAGTTAACATTTCAACATACATTTAAGATTAACAAGCTGAATAAAACATGTTTAAAAAATAATAAACCTGGCTTTATGAACTCTTTATATAAAATAAAACAGAAACAATCTATAAAAAAACTATATTGGAAAAATTAAGATAATCTATCTGCGAGTAAAATAGTAAAACAAAAAATAAAAATCACACAATTAAAGTTTGCTATCAACTGAATAGGATTTTAAAAACATAATAAAGTCCACCACTATTCCAAATTTAAAAAGTTTTTCCATTTAATTTATATGCTATTATAATTATTCTTTAGACTTAAGTGCAATAAAGTCACAAAAGATTTGGGAATATAGAAATTATGCCTAACATATTTGCTTGTGTATTTACTCATACAAAATTTGCAAAATAAACAAACCGTTTATTTTCCTCTATGGAAAACTGCTAGAATAATACTCCTAAGCCTTTAAAGTCCTAATATTGCTTTAAAGAAACATAAGTTGTTTAATTAAAATATATACATGTTCAAAGAAAGTAAAAGAATACAATCGTTCTCAAGTTTTACAACCCAGCAGAGCTTCAGAAGAAACTTGTATATTTTCAGGAAAAGGCAACCTGGAAATTGTAGTGCTAAGTTTCACCTTGAGAATTCCACCTATTCCTTCATTTTATTTTTGACTCTTATTATAAAATTATTATATCATTACACACCCATTATG